AGACTATTTACAGTCATTAACTAATGAGCTTTCAGTATGTCCCTTGTGCAAGACAGTCCACGTTTCCACACTGGAAATTGCTTTACAATTGCAAAAGCACAGCTAAACCCCATGGATGTCCGTCCAGAGCCTGAATGCCTATGCCTGCCATTGTCTAAAATAAACAAAGCTATTTAAAAACAAAAACCCCAACAAGCTGTGTCTTACTGTGTCTGCCTTCATATAGAAAAAGCAATGAATGTGAATGCTTATTGGATTTCATTTTCATCTGTCAACTCTGAAAGCACTTGTTCTGAAGGTTTTCCTCAAGCCCAGTATGTTTAATTTGCTTTTGTTACAAATAGATATCCATTTTTAACATCAGTTTACTGCCTCCCCCCTGCTGCTGCTGCCCTAAGCATTGTCATGGAAGCTAAGACCGTTTCACTGAAGAAATGTGTACAGCCACTTGCAATTTGGGGATTTAATTTAGTTGGGTTGTTGTTTTTTTTTTTTAAACAGACAAAGAATGAAAATTGGTATGTGTCTTCATATTCCTTTGCTGTGCACATAGTTGAGGTACCTCACAAACACCAAGAGGGTGGTCTGATTTTTTTTTTTAGCTTTAACATACTTTATTATTATTACTGCATAGTCTAGTTCTATTAAAAGTCAGTCCTTTAGCTTCCAGCAGATTTTTTACTGTTAATGTAAATACAAAAGAGTTAATCCAGTTTATTCTGAACTTGAAATAAGGGGTTACAGGAAAGACAAAGCATTTGTTTGGGCACTGACATTTAAATGCAGAAAATGTCAGTTTGCCAAGAAAATTTTACACTCCTACAACTTAAACAGATGCAGTGAAGCCCCAAACCATTTCAGAGGAAGAAAGAACGGTATCTCGTATGTCAAAAAGCAAAACATTGGTAGCTAGTGAGCACAGGACAATCCAGGAATGGCATTTGATTTCATCAAAATCAAGCAGTAGTTTTGGGACACACATGCAAATGAGTTTGCATTAGAGTCAGTTCCAAGTTAAGGCTTTGCTTAGGAACAAAACTCCATATCAGCAGCCACAGATGTCCTGGAAAGTTTCTGCAAGGAAAGTAAATCTGCAAGAGTAAGTAGAAGCCTTGCGCTGGAGCAAGCAGGCATGATGGAGAGTAGGCTGACCGGGAGCAGTGGAGAGCTTTAGGCAGGCACTACAACTAACAAACTACTCCTCCCTCCCAGCACAAACACCTGTCCTACACAGCCAGCTCGTGGAGCTACAGGTGGAAGGAGAAAGAAATGTGAACAAAAAGTTCAAAAGCTTAGATTTCACCTTAGTGGCAACAGCTGGCAAATGACCTGCTTATGCCACAGATCATCAGATGGATTCTTCTGCTTTTGGAGGTGAGAAGGGCACACCCAAGCTCTCCAAAGAAGCAAAACCTCTCATCCTTTGCACCAGAAGAACAAGATGAGGCAGAAAGAGTAATGCTCAGTCTAGCCAGTGGCAGAAACCACACTTTGCCTTGGGAAGAAAACTCCAGATATTTATGCATTTTATAAGAAGCTGCCTTTGACTGTTAAAAGAGTCTGGAAACACAACATGCCAGTTGGCCAAATACTGCGATCAAGAAGCAAGCAGACCATGCAGTTGCTCCCTCTAAGTCTGCCTGCCATTTTTCAGACCATTGTAACTTGCAGTATCAAAGATTTTAAAGGGCTTTTGTAGCTAAGTCTGCTCCTACACTCTGTTACTTGGAGAGGACAATAATTATAAAGGAGTTAGTCTGTTTACATACTGAGAAGCACTGTACTCAGGACATTTTCTGATCTACAGTGAATCAACTCTGAACTATATTAATTGTATATAGGACAATCTCGCTCACTCTAATTTATTTTGCAAAGTGTGTTCTCCTAGGTCAAGGGTTATGCATGAGCAATAGCAGAATCTCACTAGTAAGGCTGTCTTTGTTGGGTATTCTGGATTTAAGGTAACTCCAGTCATAAGGCTGCTTAATGTTTTCCACTGTTAGTCTTGTCTTTCTTTGAATCTCACTACGCTTTCTCTATTAGGTGGATACCTAATGTAGAAAATATTCATCCCTGGACTTTTCCCTCTTCATATGGTTCATCTTGTTAAGAAAGATAAACAAAAAAAAACCCACTTTTTTTTGGTCTGTAGTAAAAAAACAATATATATATATATAAAAGCAATGAGTTGTAGCGAAGTGCTGAAGTGCCATCTTGGTTTTTAAGCGGAAGTTTATTTTTGGTACCTGGAGGTGTTTGGATTAGACATAGCCTTTTCTGAGGCTATACCCACCATCTGAATTACACCAGTATTTAAACCTTTGAGTAGCTATATATAATTTGCCTAAGCTTAGTTCCCAAAATACTACATCTGCATTCCTGCAAGAGGTGGACATGCACCATCCCCTGAGAGCTGGAAACAGTTCTCTTAAGACAGCCACGTCCAGCTCTAGAAGGTATGCTTTCAGCATGAACCAGGCAGTCAAAAGAAGCAGAAGTGGCTGGATGGAGAGGGGAAAACAGGGGGGAAAGGGTGAGGGAAGAGAAGAGCAGGAGCCAGAGTGTCAGGAGATGTCAGAGGAAAAAGGAGTAGAACAGGAAGACAGCTGAGAGTTGCAGGCTATGAAGATCCAGCAACTGCAGTATATTCCTCTCCTGACCCCATTAATCCCTGTATTAAGCACTCGGCTGTCATCTGAAACCCCAACTAAAATGTGCCTCCCCACCCACAGCAGCTGCTGTTACCACATTTTTTTCAAATTATGCTGAGAGACAGTAGATCTAAACTGATCCTCTAAGAATAGAACATTGAAATTAAAAATACAGATTATCTCAAGCGCTGTTCTTTAGATTTAAAAGCAGTGTAAATTACATTAAAAGTATACTAAGGCTGTGAAGCGTCCAGAAGCCAACAAATGTAGCAGCCACTCATTCCCCTTCCTTTTTGAATGAGTTTCTTTGTATGGTCCCAAAATTCCTTTTACGGAGATCCTTGTTTTCCTCACTGCACAGGACAGGCTGCATTCTTGTGATGAATGAGGGTGGCATAATAAAGGTTTCTGCTTTGTTCCAGCTTCCAAGACAGTAAATAAGATAATGCCTTGCAAGAGAAAGGATGGTGTTACAGACCAGGGAGGTCTAAGTACATACTGGGGCAGCTGAATTCTCACCCCTTTTCTGCCAGGTGCTGCACAGGCAACCCAGTAGGTTGCGTTGTTTGGCCAGTACCTGGACTGTGATACCTATGGTTGTATTTTGGAAGTACTGATCACAACAGCAATCAAGACAGAGGGAGCTCTGCTGCCATCGTATAAAGTACTGTAAAATATATACTAATTTTTTACATCTCAGTTCAGGCTCTCAAAATTATCCAGCACTCTTGGTTTCAAATTCTATACCTCAGAGATCACAGAATCATCTAGGTTGGAAAAGACCTTGAAGATCATCCAGTCCAACCATTAACCTAACACTGACAGTTCCCAACTACACCATATCCCTCAGCACTGTGTCAGCCCGACTCTTAAACACCTCCAGGGATGGGGACTCCAACACCTCCCTGGGCAGCCCATTCTAACACCTAACAACCCATTCTGTAAAGAAATGCTTCCTAATATCCAGTCTAAACCTTCCCTGGCACAACCTGAGGCCATTCCCTCTTGTCCTATCACTTATTACTTGGTTAAAGAGCCTCATCCCCAGCTCTCTGCAACCTCCTTTCAGGCAGCTGTAGAGGGCGATGAGGTCTCCCCTCAGCCTCCTCTTCTCCAGACTAAACACCCCCAGTTCCCTCAGCCGCTCCCCGTACGACCTGTGCTCCAGACCCTGCACCAGCTCCGTTGCCCTTCTCTGGACACGCTCGAGTCATTCAATGTCCTTTTTGTAGTGAGGGGCCCAAAACTGAACACAGGAATCGAGGGGCGGCCTCACCAGTGCCGAGTACAGGGGTCAGATCCCTTCCCTGTCCCTGCTGGCCACGCTATTGCTGACACAAGCCAGGATGCCATTGGCCTTCTTGGCCCCCTGGGCACACTGCTGGCTCCTGTTCAGCCGGCTGTCAATCAGCACCCCCAGGTCCCTCTCTGACTGGCAGCTCTCCAGCCACTCCTCCCCAAGCCTGTAGCGCTGCTGGGGGTTGTTGTGGCCCAAGGGCAGCCCCCGGCATTTGGCCTCATTGAAACTCCTCCAGTTGGCCTCAGCCCATGGCTCCAGCCTGTCCAGGTCTCTCTGCAGAGCCTCCCTGCCCTCGAGCAGATCAACACTCCCACCCAACTGGGTGTCATCTGCAAACTGACTGAGGGTGCACTCGATCCCCTCGTCTAGATCAGCAATAAAGATGTTAAACAGGAGTGGCCCCAAAACCGAGCCCTGGGGGACACCACTTGTGACCGGCCGCCAAATGGATTTAACTCTGTTCACCACAACTCTTTGGGCCCTTATAACACAGGCATGATATCCTCCATCCTTCTAGATATCAGGAAGATTACAACAAACTAATCCAAAAAGTGGTCTAAAGCCTTCAGACAAAGTTGATTTAGTTTGATACCAGCATGACTTCAAGGATCATGGAATTAAGCAATTCAGGGAGAGCACCATAGAAAAACTGATAAGAAAATGAACCATCTCAATGCAAGGTTTGGACGGTTCACAAAATACACTGTGTTTAGAACCACACACTGAGTGCTGAACATTAACACCCCACATGTTGGCTGAGGCAGAGATTTTGTGAAAGGGCCAGCATAGAGGGGGGGAAAAGAAAAAAAAAAAGTGATTGTGTGATTAAGAGCCCTGTGTGTACAGGTCAGCAGCTTACATATGGGCACTTGCTATAGTCCTGGTGTTTTCTTATTTTGCAGTGCTTGAATGTGTGAGCTAGACAGCTAGAGATTTTAGTTTTTGAACTGAGGGCTGGGTATCAGTGTGGAGAATATAAGATACAGAAGAACGTAGCACATGCCTGCCCAGGGAAAGGCAGAAGAGCAGCTGTTCAGCCTGGAGAGGACAATAACGCAACTGGTAATATCGCCCATTTACTCAAGGTACACATCACAACCTCCCACCAGGCCATCAGTACCAACCTCTGCTCTGCCAACAGGTAAAACATACTGCATTTGCTCTGCAAGGATCTTGATTATACGTTTGCCCCCTGAAGCAGCAACCCACTAATTTTCTCCTTCAACCTCTGATCAGACTCTGTATTTATTTCTTCCACTTGATTACCTGACTCCTTTTCATGAAGTAGCCTGCAAGTGCAGTGCATGCTCATACCATTTGAGATAAACATCCCAGCCACCCAAATGGATTTGAAATGAAGCCAGACAACTTCGCCTATCCCCATTTCAAGCTCCCACTTTCAATAATGTCTCTGTTACACAACATCGCAACAACATACCGGCACAAATCCTGCTTCCCACGGCCCTCGGTGCCAGGGCTTCCTGCAGTCAGAAATACCTGTTCAGACCATACTTTTTTTTTCCTTCAGTTTTCACTCCTGCTCTGAGTGTGCAGGACAAAGACAGCACAGCATGAGCCCATACAGAATTGCCTCCCAGCACCAAACAGGCAGACGCCTGGCTAAGCAGCACCTTTGCTACACCGAGATCTACCTCTGCTACATGGAGGTTAACTGTCCTTGCCAAACAACCCCTGTGGTGTCAGCCATTGCTTGCAGAGGTGATTGTGATTTCCTGTTTCTGAAAGTAGTGTTACCAGCCAGACCATCATTCTCCTTAATTTAGAAAGCTGTTCCATGTTTTCTTGTGATCTGGTTCTACACCTCCACACACAGGCTGAGGACTGCCACAGCACTAAGGTTTCACAACACTTTCCCTGTTCAAAACAGTCAGCGAGGAAACCCACAGGTATTTTTGTTGTAAACATTTCCCACAGACTAAACTCAACAGGTACCAGCAAGTAGTCTTGCTCCTTTGCATTTCCTAGTGTAACATGACAATAAAAGAGCATGCTCAAGAATCACTACATAGAATGAGCTATAGCTGCTTAATTTTACCTGTGTGAACATTTTAAATTGCAATTGAAGGTTATGACAATTACATTTCTCAGCTGTGGGCATCCATAATGGAATAAAAAAAAAGACTAGTAGCAGGGGTTGTCCTAGCATGAGGCATGAAACCAATCCAGATTGCTATAGAGTAGAGCTTATCTTGAGGAATTTTTTTTTAGTCATCTGTTCCTGCAGTTTCTAAACTGCAGCCTCAAACCTTTAAAGTATTTTCAAATCTAAATTCTTGCTATAGATGCTAAAACATGAAGTTTCTTTTCTGGAATTGACTATTTCTCAGAGGCACTACCTATTCAGACAAGCACCTGCACCTTTAGGGCTCTCCCATGTGCCAGGTATAGAGTCAGAGTTCCAGCAACAAACAGCACCAACAAAAACACAATACATGCTGCAGCATGTACAAACGCTAGCCTCCACTCTACATACATAAAAAAAACATATGAAAGACAAATAGATTTAAGATGGAATACAATGACTGCAATCCTAAGTGAATTCAGCATTTTAATCCTAAACTGTACAGTGCCTGGCAACCTTATTTCAACATTAGCTTTATCCACAGGTGTCTAACCCTTAAAAGAAATACCTAACTTCATCTTCTGGAGAAATACAGTAAAAAACTGCTTTTTGTTTCATTTTGAACTCATACACTACTTAAAAAGATTAATAAGTAAAAATGCAAAAAATGGTAAACATAAATTCCACTTTTTTCCCCCAAATATTTAATTTTCCAAATTAGTTTGGTTATTAAAATCTCTAAAAACAAGTTATGTAAATTACCCATACTAAATAGTTGACTTGCAACAACAACAACAAAAGAGTTAATTATTATGTTACTTTTAGTCTTCTAAGGTCACGCTAATGAAAACACTAATCAAAGATTTCAGTCACTTAACATTTTCAGTCCTTACCTGTTGTAGGTGGATTTCATTGAGCAATAAGATTTACAACTTTTCGATGATGCAACATATATAAGGCTGAATTCATTCAGTTGCTAATGAAATGTGATTTGGCGACTCTCTTGCTCCAGCTGGGTGGTAATTAGGGCTTATCACTGATAGGTCTAGGAAAAGGCTGGGAAATACTTAAGTTTGTTTTGCAGTTACTTTGAGCTCTTAGGAAAGGAGTGATTCTTTTATAAATAGCAGCCTGAAGTTTTCTGCCTGTGCAAGTGAGGTAATGATACAGTTTTTAACTTCCTTATATGAGTTAGATGAAGACTTACAAAAGACTATTTTAATAAATTGTTCTGGTTTAGCGCTTTTTGAAGTGTGAGATGGGTAGTTTGCCTTCTTAAGCAGCTCAAGTATAATGTTAATTAAGCAAGTGGCTTCAGAGAAAGCTTGTAGAACTTGCTCTGTATGACATCTGTTAACTTGAAATTCTGCTTTTGATAGTTGCCTGCCAGCACAACAAGCAACTCTGTGGAGGTTTTCTGAAGAAAAAGAGGATCTTAAAGGTAGTTCCTGCTTTATAGGGAAACCAAGGCCTTGCATTCCTCTCTCTTTGATGAAGATTATAATGGCTCTGTATTAACTATAAGCAAAAAGGCCTCTCAGGCATTTAAGTTACTGAATAATCTTAATAAAAATAAGTACTTCAAAAGCAGCTAAAGGTATAAGCTAGGCTGTGACTTGTTGTAAGGTATCTTGTCCATACGTGCCATCAGCTGGAAAAAAAAGAGAAATCTACAGGTGTAGCAAAACACCTGTCTCATAATACAGACTAACCGAGCTTCAGAGCAAACTCCTGTTTAAAGCTCTTCTCTCTCTGCAGGCAGCTGTTCCTCTTCCTCCTCTTTTTCTTGATAAGGGTGGTCTCTCTCTTAAAGGAGAACTTTTGCCTGTGAACTGAAAACTACACAACAGCTTTTAAAAATCAGCAGTTTTCCTGAACTGCAAGACTTCAGATTTGGCAATCATGAGACGAAGAGGTTTTTCAAAATGGACTGAAGAAATACAACCTAAAATATACAAAAGCACTGTAGAGAAAGCTTCCCCCCCATTTTGATTTTATGTAGTTTTCACTTTAAAATATATACAGTTTTGGTTCTTTTGTAGCTTAACAGAACACTTCTTGCAGGGTTTGTATTTTCCATGGATGTTGTTTATTCATCACAAATTCAGTCATTCTTGCAGAAGAAAGCCATTTCATTTTACATTGAACTAAAGGCTTGTGTACCTAAATTTCCACTGCAAATGGAAGTGGGTTCTATGGGTTTGTTCTTGAAAATGCTTCTCGCTTGTCTCCCAGGAGATATTGATATTTACACTATGTGTTTATATATGGGATGGTTCTGTTGTGTGGGTGTGGTGGGGTTTTTGTGGGTGGTTATTTTTTTTCTTTCTCTGAATAGTTTACATGTCTGTAAGAGTCTGGACCTGAAGAGCTTTTAACATCAAAGTGCTTAGAAGCACTGCAGCATGGTCCAGACTTCCTAGCACTTCAGAGTACTGCTTGCTTTAGCGATGCAAGTATGTGATGCGAGGCTGGGATAAGGAGTCATCCTGAGAATTGATACATCAGCAAACCTCAGTCTTACAGTTCAGGTCCTACTTCTTCCTTAATGATGTTATCTACTTATCACACTCCCTTTGAAATTATTTCATTCTGTATTTGATTTAGGGTAAAAAAAAAAAAATAAAAATCATGAGATCTGGTCCTAATACAAGTCCTTTAAGTGTCAGGGTTCTGCTCCCATTAGCCAAGGACTAGATGCAGAAGTGGTTTTGTTCTTGTTTTGGTAGTGTCACAATCCAAATGGTGTTCATATAAATCTAATCCACACAGAGGGCACCTTGGCCCTTTCTGAGATTCTAGCTCAGACTAATGCATGTGACTGGAACCTCAGTGGGGCTGGACTGAGTTACAGAAACATATCACAGCTGTTTTCATTTGGGCTGGTATTGGAGGCTGCAGTGCCTCTGCCCTGTGGGCTGTTTGCCCACACTGTAGAAGGACAAGGCTCAGTGCTCTCTAGAGCCTGAGGAGACTCAAAGCCATACTCCTGATCTTTGGAGCTGGCTGAGGACATCCATCCTTCCTGCCTGCCGAGTATAAGCCATTGCACATAAATTCCAAATTTGTGAGGCAATAAAGAGGAGACTTTAGCATAAGTTAGAATCTTTTTCTGTGGAGGAGGTCTGATGTTTGTCTGTGCTCCAGGAATCTTCTGTTGTATGCCCAAGTGCCCCCGGGGTTAAAACACTGGAGAGTAGATGTGGGGATCCAGCCCATAGTCCTGTGTCAAGAGCAGTAAATCTAACCTGTCCCGCACACTGGTGTCTTCTCTACTGTCTGCAGCTTCTTGGCTATTCTCAGTATATAGATCATCCCCTCTGCATACCCTTATACCAATTTCAAAGGAAAGCCTACTCAGCTCTAAGAGCGAAGAGTCCTTGCTGTGGATGGGGAAAGGAAAATTGCCTGCTGAGTGCAGCTGGGGCATGAACATGGTCAAGTGGCTCAAGGATGGCCACTGTGCTCACTAACTTGTTATCCAGTAGGTTTGCTTATGCTTTTCCTTTTTCAACTTGAGGTAGTTCATCCATCAAGGAAAGAGGTGGAGATGGGATTGCAGTCAAAAAGACTTTATTAAACTTCCATTCTCTTTTCAGTAGATGGAGTTCCTGAATCTTGACTAGAGTATGTCCTTGTCCCACCACAGACACATCTGCATGCACATACATAGACAGTGTGTCCTACCTCTGCTAGGCCTGGACTGGCAGCAAGAACTGAGTTTAGCTTCTGGGAGACTCGGTTGAACCCAAGTTCAAGGTCCTGTGCTTTCCTGCCTGCAGAAGGGTATATTGTTTGGTCATGTGATGAGCTAAGCTGCACTGCTAACATGTGACAGTCAGGTGCCCTGTAGTTATGCCTCTTTGGAGGATGAGGGCAAAGGAGAAGTGAAAGTCTAAAGCTATAATAATAATGAAAAAAAAAAAAAAGTTTCTTCAAAGCTTCTGTGAAAAAGCATAGAAGTGCTCTTATTACAGTCTGAGGATTGTCAAGGAATTGACTGACATTCCCAAAGCTTCTCTCCTTACTATGGTTAAATTTAACTGTTGGAACAAAACAGAGGAATTGGGTTAGACAGCACCTCTTAAGGCCATCTGCTCCAAACCTTGCTCATGGCACAACCAGTCTTGAAGCAATGTCAAGGCTTTTGTCCAGCTGAAGTACAGAGATGCAACCTCCTCCCTGGACAGCCTATTCCAGTGTTCCCTCACTCTCCCTGTGGGAAATTTTGGTCAGTCTGATGCTACTGCCTTCAGGGTTTTCAGCCTCAGACCCGCATGTTGACATTTGGCTTAGGTTATGCAAAAGGTGGTGCTTCCTCTGTGAGATGCAAATTTTATTATGTCTCAACTACTAGGCTACTGCAAATAGGTTTTGTTCATTTAACTAGGATTTCTGATGGTCACCTGAAATCTCTGTGTAGCAATATGCAATTACCTGGGCTTGAGCAAGGTGCCCCCCAGCAGTGGGTGCCAGTGCTGGCAATGCCACACCATGCCATTCCACTACCCACTCACCTTCTGATCCAGTGGCTATGCCAGCTCTATTTGGCTGCATGTTGCATTATTCTCTGCAAAACAATCTGGCTAGAGGCTGCAGTATCAACCTCTACTGCAGGGTTTAACAAGCCCCAAAGAAGGGAATTGGGATGTGGCTTTTCTTGAAACAGCTCAATTTTTTCTTCTCCTTACAAATAAGAAAGGATAGTTGGACTGATGAAAATTATTTACATTCTAGTTAATGGGATTAAGAATTGTTTAGTGCCAAAAGCCCTATTTCTAGGGGGGAGAACAGTAAGGAGGAAAATGTTCTGCTACAAATGTTCCCTGGTGATTTAGTGTGGTGGAACAAGCAGGAAACAGCCCCAAGCGCCCTGAGTGAGGGCAGTGCCAGACAAGGTGGAGTAGCCTGTGCCCCTGCTTGCTAGGCCTTTATTTCACCACGGCAGCCAGCAGAAAAATCACAGAGAGCATGCCAAAAGGTGCTCAAACACCTCTTGTGGCTCTGCCACAAAGGGAGATACAGTCTCATCTATTTCATGTATTGTTATAAGCTGAGCTAAAGATTTCTTGCCTAGCTTGTGTCCTGAGCTTTACTTTTGAGCATGTACAATGTTCACTTCAGAACACTGGCTGACTGTGAATGAAAACAGGTATCTTGGGCAGACCTAGACATGCAAGATAACTGTCCTGTCTTCTGTAAAGAGGATTGTATGAACTTTATGTAACCCATATTCCTAGATATCTTCTGTGGGATTTTACACAGGAAGACCTGAATATTTCAGGTGTAATCATCATACTTCAAGATTAGGTAATCTTTGATATCTATTGATACCTTCCGATCCCCAGGTGCAAGTTAAGGATTTGACATAAATCTATTCAGTGAACACTGTTGCAGAAGTGCAGCACAGCAAGTGATGTGCTTTTTACCTGCCTGTGAGCACTAAGAAAAGTTCACTACAGCTCACCTCCCTTCTGTTTGTTGTATAGCACTTGTTTTTCTGACAGCAGTTCAGCTCCTGATGGAAGAACAAAACGTTGTCAGAGAGGTCCCAGCAGTCCTAAAGCGCCTGGCCAAATATATAGTGCGTGGTTTCTATGGAGTAGAGTACTCCCTGGCCCTTGATATACTGATCCGCTACCCCTGCGTGAAAGAGGATGACTTGTTACAGTTGCTCAAGTATGAGCGTAAGCAACTGCGTGCTATCCTTAACACACTCAAGGCAGACAAGCTTGTGAAGATGCGTATGCGAGTTGAAACGGGACCTAATGGGAAGAGCACAAAGCACAATTACTATTACATCAATTACAAGGTTCTGGTGAATGTGATAAAATACAAACTGGATCACGTGCGCTGGAAAATAGAAGCAGATGAGCGGGATGCAACTACCAGGTCCTCTTTTAAATGTCCATCTTGCTCCAGCACTTACACAGACCTGGAAGTCAATCAGCTCTTTGATGTATTTACAGGTATGTTGCCTAGATTATTTGTTTGCTCTTATCTTAAAAAAATAACTGTGATAGTACAAAATTGGCTCCTGTGTGAATTTTGCATTAAAAGCATGTTTGTGAAGGTATATTTCCTGTTTGCTGGTGGACAAGGGCCTGGGACAGGAGAAGCTTTGAGTTGAGTAAGAGAAAAAGCTGTCTTTCCTCTTGCTTGGCCTGTTCTAACCTTGAATATATGAGCTGGGCTTGGGAATATGACGTCAGACCACAGCTTTGCAATGAACAAGAATCTAAACCGTTAACCTGGTTTAAGATTACTCATCCAATTCTTGTGAGTCCCTCATACGGACATGAGAATACAGTACTTGCTTGACTCCGTTTTGAATGTGTTAATCCATCTGTGTGTTCAATTCTTATAATGGAAGAGTTGGACAAGATGGATAAAACTGTTTTCAGCCACTTGCTGTAATAAGTGCATTGCAGCCCAGCAGTAGAGAGGCCTTCTGTCAGTCCCGTGCCAGAAACGGGGAAGGGTAGGCTCCTCCCAGGGCAACATGACATGTTCACAGAAAGTGGCATCAGAGCTTGCGTGTTTCTCTTCTCTAAAAATCAAAGTAACTAAACAGAGAGTACTCTTTCAAAATTAGTTAAAATGACATCATATTGTAAAACATTACTCTAAGCGCAGAAACTGTGTTAACATCCAGAGCCAGGGAGAATGAACTTGATTATGACTAATTGGAAATGTCAAAGGTGATATTAGTGTTCTGTCTGTTAGCAAAATCATCCCTTTGTTCTAAATGCAGGGCCTTTGTCAAGTTACTGAAATGCAAACATCGAGGCTGGTGATAGATTTTAACAGAATATGCTTTAATTTATTTTTTTTTAGGACATGAATATAGATTTTTAGCATATGTTCTTGTTTTAAATGAGTCTTTTTGAACTTTAGAACTCCAAACAACTACAATAAGATGGTATTTAAGCTTGCAAATGTCTTTTTCCTTACATCATGAACTAAGAGATGAGATCAGAGAAGAAAACAATAAACCTTATGGTATGATATGATACTCCATCTTTTTTCCCCCCACTATAGACATTTCTCTCTTGCATAGCAAGCATGTGAATATCAGTCCTTCTCAAAAAAAAGAGCTTGATTTTTATAACTGGAGTTCCTATAGTTAATGTGAACAAACGGATAAAGTCAGAATATTTTGGTAATTGTCCAGGCTGCAGATTTCTTAACAAGGTACTGCTGACCTTTTGTGTCCTATGAACATAAGAATTTCCAGTTTGGATGATGTTGCAGAGACTTTCCGCTGCACTTACTGCAACACTGAAGTAGAGGAAGATGCCTCAGTGCTTCCTAAGCGTGATGCTCGAACCTTGCTAGCAAAATTCAATGAGCAGATGGAACCTATCTTTGTGCTACTGCGTGAGACTGAAGATACTGTCCTGCCATATGACTTGCTGGAGCCTGAGCCAACAGAAATACCAGAATTATCTGGAAGGTATAAACATAACCCTAGAACTTCTGATCCATACACACCCCACAACTTTCCAGTTGTAAAATCTTTCAAATACTGAATTGCAGCCTACCTTTTACTCCATTCTGCTTTGTTCAGTACTGCCAGCTGCTTAATGAAGAAGCCTATAACATCTAAATTAGTTTTGCATTTATAGTTTTGTTTTTTGCTGTTTTAAATAATTTTTGATTTCTCCTTCAGCTAAGAAAGCAACACTTCTCAGTGTGCTTCATCCAGAGATGTGCTACTGAAGAACCTGTGCAAAAATCAGTGGTTTCAGAACCACCTGCCTCTGAGATGAAGTAACAGGGAAAGCAAATTGTTTTAATATAGAGCACTTGTTAAAGCCAGTCTGCTGACAAAACATAGGTTTTTGTTGTCTTTTTTTGAATGAGAACTGGGGGGTTCTTGACTGAATTTAACCTGTCCAAAATGTGTGATATTTCTTTCAGCTTTGATCAGAAGATGGGTTCAAGTGTGCTGGAATCATGCAGCCGACCTGAAAAATGGGCCAACAGAAATAGCTCCTTTGGCAACATATACACCCAAAACTTAGTTATTGATATGCAAGACTCTCAGACCAAGCAGAAAACAAGAGAGAAAGCAACTAAAAAGCAACCTATCTGGATGTCACAGAGCACGGTGGAAGGAGCAACAGCCATCAACAGCAGTGTTGGTAAGTTTTAAGCACTGGCAGATACTTGAATTCAGCATCCTTAGTGCACTTAAATACAGCTTTCCTATTGAAAAACTATTGAGCTTGGTTTAGAATACAGAATAGTTTCAATTCTGCACTACTGGCTATCAGATCTTAGTTTCTCAAAACTAGTCTTTAGACAGATTTAGGTAGTATTCCTAAAGCCAGAGGTCAGGTACCAGGTCCTGAAATTTTTGGCTCTAACCATGCACCATTAGTGGTAATTTTTAAAGTGGAAAGGTCTTGGAAATGCCTGCACTTACAGAAAACTCTAGTGTGGGTAAAAAAGACCCAGAGTAGAAAAGAATAATTTCTGTAGGATGCCTGTGGTAACTCTAAACTATTGATACCTCTAATGCTTAGTATTGTGTATTAGGAGTAAATGCTTCTGAAGAAAGTGGTAAAGGAACCAACACTGATAACGACATCATCAAGACTCTTCTGATCCACGAATCTAAGTCATTGTCTAGCACAGATCAAGCTTCTCTTGTCAAAAGCAAGCTACCTGAATCAGGCAGTGATACCAGTGAGTCTGAAGAAGATGCTAAGCACTCTGGAAAAGCAGGAATGAAACTAGCTGGCAGCACCTTTAACCAAAAGGAGGAACAGGAAACACAAGGTCCTATTTTAACAGTAGCTGGTCAGCCTTATTCATATGGTGAAGTTAGTGAAAATCCAGAGCTTGTGTCTCTCATGACAAATGAAGAGAGAGAAGCTTATATAAAAGTGGGGCAAGAAATATTCCAGTCTGTTTTTGAGTAAATACTGTATGCATATACAAACTTGTATATAAAGGGTGAAGGCTTTTGTGAAATAAGTCTAATAGGTTAACATATGTTCTTCAAAGTTTATCACTGAAGGGTTAATTTTTGTTTGAACTCCCTGCTGTCATGCAGACAGCAATTCTGTAGTAGGTAACTACAGTTCAAAACACTAGCATTGCAGCAAAAGCAACCCAAAGTTATTATGGGTTTTCTGTTGTTTTAATCTTTAGACTTTGTGAATGCTGTAATTAGTTTTGGAGCAAGAATCATTTTGGGATACATTGGGATCTGATTAAAGTTTCAAAAGCAGTGTTTCAATCTATTGTGAAAAAAAAAAAAAATCAGTTATTTTGCCTTCTTCCCAGAAGTAGCAAATACTTCCAGGAGTGAGAATGAGTCAAAGTCCAACATGATTTGGTTTTACTCCATACCAGTGCGTTCCATTGTCTGGTTAGGTCAGTCACTGCACAACAGTAACAAATGTGCTATAGTGATCTCCCTTCAAGGGAAGAACTGTTACTAAATTGTGTTACCTACAGAAGAGGACCAGCTCTGGCCTCTTAACTTTCATCTTAAAAACAATTTTCTGAAGTCTTTGATTTCATTGCTCCACAGAACTGTCCCTAGAGCAATGCAGTGTGCAATGGATACTGAACAGTAAATATAACATTTATTTTGGTCTAGATGGGTAAGGAAGCAAGCAATGCATCAAGCAGAAGACACTGCTGCTTGTATCTCATTCACAGATGCTCTTGTAATCTTTTTAAGCAGGATCTCCTATACTGCCACTGGGGAAACACATTCTACTTGACCTGAACTACACCTGTGTAGTGTGGTGAAAGCTAGGAAACACTACTGTGAAGGTGACAGAGCACCAGCACAGGTTGCCCAGAAAGGCTGTAGAGTCTCCTGCCTTGGAGATACTCAAAAGCCACCTAGACACAGACCTAGGTAACTGGCTCTAAGTAGCCTGGCTTGAGCATTGGAGTTGGAGGTTGTGACCTCCAGAGGTCCCCACAAACCTCAACCAGTCTGTGAAGAAAGGGCAGAGAGCAAGTATGACCAAAGAAATACCAGTCCAGTGCCTTGTTTGTACATACTGTTCCAGGCCAAGAACTGAGGAGTGGTGTGCTATTGCTGGAGCTTGAGAGTTTAATGATTTAGCATATAAACTAGACTGGTCTCAGCTATACACAGATGATCTTGTTCTACTTTATGAAAATGTCCTTTTCAATCTACACAATGATTCTTTATTTCATTTTCACAGTTTTGCCTTTGTCACAAAGTATATCCTTTGTCCTCTAACTTGTTTTTTTCTGCATACAGTATCACCATGAGTTTAAAGCCTGCACAGTAACTAAACTGTCTTCAAACCTTTTGATGTAGTTTTATCTTTGGAGATGAGAGGCATGGGATAGTAATCTGCCATTTTAAAATTAACTTATAAAACCTAGAGACACTCAAAACCAAAAAAAAAACCCACAGAAAAATCACATTTTATTCAAACTTCAGGAGTATTTAGGCTTCACTGTCTCCCACAGCATGTTATTTATTACACTAACCTCAAAAGGAAGACAATCCTGAATTAAAGATAACCAATGCTTTTTAATTACCTTGAGAAAAGCCATCTGTTTTAAGGTAAACTGGATATAGCATGTATGCTGAATAAGCAATTTCTAACAATTTTAAAACTTACTGTTATTAGTATAACTCTGAAGTGAAGAAAAGTTTTGGTCTGGCTCAAGTTTTCCAAATTACGCTTCTACAATCCTAATTCTGCTTTTGCCATCAGCCATCATTAGGTGCTGACTTTAATTGGTTTCAAATGTTAATTGTAATTTAAAAGGTTTTTTTTCCTCTTACATAAAAACTCTTCACAAAGTTAAATACTTTAGGAACAAATTCTACAGGCTTTCAAGTGCAGCACTTCACATGTAATGCTTTAAAAGGATACAAAAATTTTCACAGGTTTACCCCTTTGCACCTTGAAAGTACAGAACAGAAAATGCAGAAAAGTAGTATTTTTTCTGCAGTTAACTACAAACCCAGGATATTTACTTCACCTCAGATAAATGTGCTGATAGAAATTAATTCCACAAGCCCTGAACAGGAACTTTTTTTACAGACTAGCTATACTCTAGGCTCTAAAGGCAACATATAGGTATGTACTCTGTCTACACCTCATACTTGAAGATGGAGAAACCTAGTGAGACAAGAGTTTGTCCCAGGAAAATCAGCATTGTTTCTCTGAAGGAGTTATAAACTGCTTACAAGCAGGCCAACACAATGTCAGTTAACTTCCAGAGTCCATACCATTTTGTAAGCCAGAGGAACATTTTTTTGAAATAAATTTACAGACAAATCCAAACTTTATTTGAAACTACCATTTTGAACAATTTAAAAATTACTAAACAGGTCACAATAAAAAATAAAAAAAGATTAAGACAGAAAAAGAACGGTGCAGCAAAACTGAACAGAAGAGAATTCAGTTATAGCTGTTCAAACTGCCACAGGCAGAAGTTAGCATACCTATCCTAAGAGGCAGTGTGTCAAAAATTTTACATTTTTATACACTTCCAGAATTCTGGGAAATTAGTGCTGATCTTCCATATGCATTTGTATACATGGATTTTATAAATGCAGGTATCCTCAGGTTACTCTCATGCACTTTGAGCTCCAAAAGTTTCTGTAAAATAAAGAGTATACTCATTATTGTTTAACAGCTACAAGACATCAAACACAGATCTTGACCCCATTTCAACTCCTTGTAAGTATCCACTGAAGCACCTTGATGAAAAGTTTCATCCTCACCTTTTTTTCCCCACATGCATTTTGAGTCATGACTTAATTGCTAGCTACAAACTGTGTATGCCATGGCGTTCCTAGCTAGACTGTTCCCACACCAGGTGAAGCATCAGTACTGACAAAACTGTCACAAGACTTCTGCTAGCATAGCTGTGACAAGCAGAATGGTGACGGGCAGAGAATTAAATGAAAGATGCACCTTCTTTCACACCCGATTTTTGAAAATCCTATGCTGTCACTGCAAGCTGCATTAAGAAAAGCATTTTTGTCAGCTTACATGGTTTGAACAATTATAGCTAGCTATACTAGCAGAAAACTACCACCATCAGAACACCCAGTTTATGCATTTATATATGCTGTTACTATACCCTCCACTGGAGAAACAAGCCTAACAAGAGAACAGAAGCCTCTAATACCATAACTTGTGTCACAACATGAACGTTTAAAAAGTTTTTTGACCTGCATTACCATTAAGTTTTTGTAGTTGCATAAATACTGTTTCATGAAGTGACAAATTTTTATTGCTGTCATACACACTGATTTTTACCTCATTATATGCTTCATATGAAAAATAAATTTATTTCCCCTGAATAAATACTTTACTGTTCTGAAAAGTCTCTTGAACTTTAATACAAAACCACTGACCAGCGTCAGCAAATTATATTGATCATTATTAGATCAGATAACAGCAATTAGAATGCACAGTATTATTAAAACCAAGCTTGTGCAACAAAAATACTATTCCATTTTAATAAGCTTCAAAATCATTACATTATAACATGCATTTTACATATGTTAATTTTTGACTTTAGTAGCCAGTGTATCTATCAGAAGCATATAGGAGGGACATGGAAAGCAAGATCCCTTCAGTATCAATATGTAATTTTCAAATGCATGAGAACAAAAAAGATATTCTTTCAGCACCATGATAACTGCTTACTTCTATCAGTGATAAAAAGATGTTTCAATTCTAGACCATTCCAGAGTGTTTTCCCAATAGGTATAGAGGATTTAAAAAATAATCTTTACCAGGTTCTTTCAAACTTTGGGCATCTCCTACTAATTCTTGATCTTGAGCTCCACCTCCATCCAGTAATTCATCAGACAAACTGTTGGTTTGGGCCTCTGTTGCCATTTTCTTCATTAAATCTGCCTTTGTAACAGAAAGTGAAACTCAAAACTCTGTTTAATTCTTACTGCTGTCTAAATAATTAATAGATTTAAGGTGTGCACTTCTAAACAGCCACTCCACAAACAACAGCAAAATACCTCTGAATATACCGCAAGCTTAAGGGGCAAGTCTTCAACTTTCACAAAGTCATCTTCATCAGATTTTTGACTTACATTTCCAGAACCCGCTTCCTGTTAATAAAAAGTGATGTTTAGAAGAACAGTGCTACTTTGTTTTATTTTCACTCCAAAACTAGATTTTTGACTATTCTTATAAAGTACATCAAAAAACAATGCCTGTATCAAATCTGCAGATGAAAACTGAATAAGACTGGAAAATAGAAATAACACTGAAATAGAAAAAAGCTTCTCATTTCTCTTGGATGTATCTTAACTGAAATATACATACATATTCATTCACTAACACAGGTGACTCTGTGTCTGGGCTGCCAGCCATGGAACTTTCAGAACTTGCAGCAGATTTGTTTCCCTCACAGGTTGTATCTAGTGTTTGAGTTTCATTTACTGGTAAAGATGAGCTTAATTCTTCTGTTTTCGTATCTGGTGTATTGACTGTTAAAGGTGGTGCATTCTCCATGACGTTGAGGTAATGAGGCAAAATTGTAGCTACATCTTGTTCACCTAAAACCACAAAACTACATTTTAACTAGGTAGAGATAATAAAAGATTCTGAGCAAGCAAGATTCCCAGATGATTTTTTTACTTGTTATGACCCAAAGTTACAAATAATTAAAGTGAACTACAGTCTCTCAGATTAACACAAAACTGACTAAAATAAAACATCAGTTATTTGTACTCTCACGTGTAAGTATCAGCAACTATCACAAGACAGTATGTGACTTAAAAATTTCTGACTTGATACAGTTGTGTTTTGGTTTAAAAAAATCCCCCAACTTCCAGAACTATATGACCTCCTGTAAAATATTCATTCTAGGTATAAGGAGATACAATACAGAACACCAAGTTCCTTATTATTTCACCACATTCTTGTGCAACACAGTATCTACTCAAATACCGCCTTTAATCTACAAAATAGGACCATTAACAATCCCAGTATTTGCAACAAAAAACACAGGAAAAGAAGGTGGTAACAACAGTTAGATTAGAAGTAACATTCATACCACCCAGTAGTGTTCCTGTCTGTGATCTCTCGGTTCATAATCAGTTACAACACAGCATTACTCCCAGATATAAATCCTTAAAATATAAAGTGATTTCAATTGCTAGTAAATGGTACTAGCAGAAAAAGCAAGTACTAGACAAACCAAAACGTCAAAATACTGTAACAGACAAATTAACTCCGCTATAGTTGTGTGCCAAGGGCTGCAACAAACAACTGAAATTCATGCTATTGTCAAGCATTAAAACCATATCTACCTAAGATGATTCCAGGTTTCCTTTTTTAAAGGTCTGTATCAATATAGATATATCTAGTCAACTGATATGGTTGCATTAAAAAAAACAGCCCAGTAAACTCTTGCAAATTTGATCATCTTCGTCTTAATTACATATATCACAGGCACTGTCCAAGGCAATTCACACAGTATGCAAATTCATATAGAAGTGCATACAGGGCTCACCTTTAACATTAGCAGATTCTTGTTCTGATGACAAAATCTCGCTGCTCTTAGTCTTACTCAATTCTTGGTTTGAAGTCTATTGGGGAAGGTGCAAACAAGTTAAAACAAATTCTACTCATCAGCTTCACAACTTATTGGCTAATATACTCTTCCTTGCTAACTAGAAACATACTGTACCACTTGCTCCATGTTTTTGCCTTCTCAATAGTTTGAAATAGACAGCAACTTCTACTTTACTCATCAGCTAGTCAACAACACTTTAAGAAACTATTAAACACTGATATGTGTGTTTTATCTGAACATGTAATTTTTCTTTTAATTATAGTAGTTCTCAAATAAACTCTTTGCTTTCACTGAAAAGATCTGTCATTTTAGCCTTTAAAGTAAAATGTTTTAGTTACATCCTCACCTAATGTTAACAGCTGTTGAGTAAATCAAAGTTTCAGGTCAAAGAATTGACAACTGTATTCAGTTTGTGTGGCAAGGTTTTGGTACCGCAGGGGCTACATGGGTGGCTTCTGTGAGAAGCTACTAGAAAGAAGCTTCCTCTATGCCAGAGCCAATGCCAGCTGGCTCCAGGATGGACTTACCACTGGCAAAGGTCAAGCCCATCACTGGTAGCACCTCTGTGGTAATACATTTAAGAAGGGGGAAAAAAACCCCACTGTGCAACTGAAGCCAGGAGAGAAGTGAGAGTATGTGAGAGAAACACCTCTGCAGACACCAAGGTCACTGAAGACAGAGGGGGAAGAGGTGCTTCAGGTGCTAGAGCAGAGATTCCCCTGCAG